GTTCAGAGCGAGCCGCGATTCGCAGACTTTGTTTGGTTTCAGGCCGGCCGAGGGAGGACCTGACAAGTCTGCACCTTTTTCTTTTTCTTTTTTTTTTGCAGTTAGGGCCTTACTGTGTAGCCCAGGCTAGCCTCAGAATCGTGGCCGCCCTGCCGCTGCCCCTGGGTGCTGGAATGACAGATTGACCCAAAGAGGAGGTTCCGTGTGTGTCGATGGTGCCCTGGCACAGAGCCCAGGCCACTCTGCAGCTCTCGACCCCCCACCTCCGCCTCCACTTGCCAGGCTGACAGACATGTGTGTTTTAAGTAACATTTAGAATTGTATTGTTGATTTCAGCAGGAAAAGAATGGGGAGAATATTAAGTTTCCCACCCTCGTTGCTCAGGGTTACAAAAATACCATAGTTAGGGGTTGGGGTCCAATCGGTATAGTGCCCGCCTAACATTTCAAAGTCCTGGGTCTCACTCCTAGCTCCGCATAAACAGTACCAAGTGGTGGACACCGGTCATCCTGGGCTACATGATGCTGCCTTCTGCTAAAAAAAAAAAAAAAGAAAAGAAAAGAAAGAATTCAGGAACTTGGAGAGATGGCTTGGTGTTTAGGAGTACCTGATGTTTTTCCAGAGGACCTGAGCTTGGTAACTCCACCCTCTGCGGATTTAGATTTTAATTCATTATACTTTACTGTGCATATTTTGTAAACTATACCTCAAATAAAAAACAAAACCTTCAGGCCCTACCCAGGAGAAGCAAAGATGGGATCATCCCAAGTTCGAGGCTAGCCTAGACTATGTGAAGAGTTCAGGCCAGCCAGGACTATATTGTGAGACCCTGTTTGAAAGCAGGTGATCCCTGTGAGTTCGAGGCCAGCCTGGTTTACAGAGTGAGTTCCAGGACAGCCTCCAAAGCAATACACAGAATCCCTGGCTGGGTAGTCAAGCCACCTCTCCAGCTCCTTGACGCCTGTTTTTATCATTTACTAAGACAAGTAGCTTAAATTCTCTTAGTCTTGCCGGGTGGTGGTGGGGCACACCTTGAATCCTAGCACTTGGGAGACAGAGGCAGACAGGTATCTTGAGTTCAAGGCCAGCTTGGGCTACAAAGTACATGCATGTCTGGTGTCTGTGCAAGCCAGAAAAGGGTGTCAGATCCCTTGGAACTGAAGTTAAAAACAGCTGTGAGCTTCCATGTAAGTGCTGCAAACTGAACTAGAGCAGCAAGTGCTTTATTTATTTCCAGAAAGGGTTTCTCTGTGTAGCCCGGCTGTCTGGAGTTTACTCTATAGTCTAGGCTGACCCAGAAATCGGTTTGCCTGTCTCCTGAGTGCTGGGATTAAAGGTGTAACCACCACATGGTCAGCAAGTACTCTTTAAAGTTTTTTTTTTTTTTTAAGATTTTATTTATTTATTATGTATACAACATTCTGCTTACATGTATATTTGCACACCAGAAGAGGGCACCAGATCTCATAACGGATGTTTGTGAGCCACCATGTGGTTGCTGGGAATTGAACTCAGGACCTCTGGAAGAGCAATCAGTGCTCTTAACCTCTGAGCCATCTCTCCAGCCCCCCCCCCCTTTTTTTTAATTAATCTTTTGTTTCATGTGTTTTGTTGTATGTCTTTGCACCTTGTTTGTGTATACCCTTGAAGCCCAATTGAGGGTGCCAGAAACCCTGGAACTGGAGGTAACAGACAACTGTGAGATACCTCATGGGTCCTGGGAACCAAACTTGGTTCCTCTGCAAGAACAGCCAGTGCTCCTAGCCCCTGAGCTGCCTCCTTTGCCCAGCTTCTCTTTTTTCTGAGGATTCTTACTCTTGCCCAGACTAGCTTTGAATGCCCTTTCTCTTTTCCTCCTGCTTCAGGCATTGGAGTGTTGGAATAATAGGTGTGTACACCGTCTCCTTCCTTCCTTCCTTCCTTCCTTCTTTCCTTCCTTCCGTTTTTCCCCAAGACAGGGTTCCTCTGTACATTCCTGGCTGTCCTGGAACTAGTTCTGTAAACCAGGCTGACCTTAGATTCAGAGATCGCCTGCCTCTGCCTCCCAAGTGCTGGGATTAAAGGCGTTCGCCACCAACACCAGGCCCAGCTCTATATTTTAATAATTGTTTTGTGTATGCATGTGTATGGGGAGGTCAGTTTTCTTCTTCTTTCTTCGTGGGGGTTCCAGGAATGGGGCTCAGATCACGGGGTTTCTTCAGCAAGCGCGTTTACCAGCTGAGCCACTTGGCAGCTCCTCTGTTTCATCTCTTTCTGAGCTGTAACACACCCAAGCCTGTGCCCCACTCAGGCCTGCACCATGCTGACTGCATAGCATTTGCCCATAGGCACCTAGACTAAGCTGGGGGGTTCCTCAGGCCTACAAGCTTTACTTCCTTACTTTTAATCTTTATGTGTCCTGCATTTTATTTACTTAAAGGCAAGGTCTCATGTAGCTCTTGAATTCTCTCTGTAGCTTAGTGTGACCCTGCACTGAACCTGCTCCCACCTCCTGAGTGCTGGCATGACAGGTGTGTGTTACTAAGCTTGGTTTCTGTGGTGCTGGCTGTGGAGCCCAGGGTTTGTGCCTGCTAGGTAGGCACTCTACCCACTGAACCACCTGCCCAGCGCTTCCTTCTGTTTGGAAATCACATGCGGTTTTCCCCTTTAGATCCTGACACAGCTGTGCTGGCCTTATTGCTCTGCGCCTTTTTTTGTTTGTTTTGTTTTTAAGATTTATTTATTTAGAGAAAGGGTTTCACTGTGTAGCCTTTGCTGGCCTGAAGCTCTCTCTGTAGACCAGACTGGCTTCAAACTCAGAGAGATCCACCTGCCTCTGCCTCCCAAGTGCTGGGATTGAAGGTGTGCACCACCACCACCCAGAGTATGTGATTTTTATTATTGATGACTTGAGTTTGGGGTACTGTGACATTTTCAGATACTCTGCAGATATTTCCCTTCCCAGTGGCCTGCTCAGCTAATAGTGTCATTTACACAAATAGTTTCTCTTACTTAAGGAAGTCCTGTTTGTATTCTTCTAAAGTAGATTTATATATTCACTGTTTTTTGGAGGAGGTGGGGGGAGCACCATGCTGTGCACATCTTTCTTTGAACCAGGGTCTCACTGCAGAGCCCTGGCTGGCCTGGAACTTGCTGCAAACCAGGGAAGCTGCAAACAGTGACCCTCCCACTCCACCTCCTGGGCACCGGCGTTATAAGAATGCATCAGGGCACTTGGGCTTTTCTTTTCTTTTCTTTTCTTTTCTTTTCTTTTCTTCTCTTTTCTTTTGTTTTCTTTTGTTTTTTCAAGACAGAGTTTTTCTGTAGCCCTGGCTGGCCTAGAATTCACTGTGTGAAACAGGCTGGCCTCAAACTCAGAGATTCACCTGCCTCTGCCTTCTGAATGCTGGAGTTAAAGGTGCGGGCCCTTCCTTCCTTCCTTCCTTCCTTCCTTCCTTCCTTCCTTCTTTCCTTCCTTCCTTTTAAATTTATCTATTTTTTTTCTTTTTGATACAGGGTCTCATATGTTATCCTCACTGGCCTAGAACTCTATGTAGACAAGATTGGCCTCTAACTCCAGAGATCCACCTGCCTTAAGGCTTTTGATATCACTTCTAGCCGTGTGTGTGTGTGTGTGTGTGTGTGTGTGTGTGTGTGTGTGTGTGTGTCTGTGTGTCTGTGTGTGTGTGTGTGTGTGTAATGGGTTCTCATATAGCTTTGGCTGCCCTATGTAGCCATGGATGACTTTGAACCCTTGATTATCCTGCCTCTGCTTCTTGAGTGGTGGGATCACAGACATGCGCCTCCACTCCTGGATGATGCTGTTAGGGATCAGGAGTCAGCATGTTAGGCTGGCAAGCATTCTACCTATTAAGCTCAGCCCTGGCCGGGCGTTGGTGGTGCACGCCTTTGATCCCAGCACTCGGGAGGCGGAGGCAGAGGCAGGCGGATCTCTGTGAGTTTGAGATCAGCCTGGTCTCCAGAGGGAGTGCCAGGACAGCCTCCAAAGCTACACAGAGAAACCCTGTCTCGAAAAACCTAAATAAATAAATAAATAAATAAATAGCTCAGCCCTGGACATCTCTAGCTCTTACTTTCCGGTCTCCATCCACTGGGAGTTGAGTTCCTTCTCCAGGTGAGCAGGGGCACTGTGCATCTCTGTGTGGCCAGTGGTCCAGTGCTGAGAAGTCTCCTCAACCCCATTAAATTATTGTGGTATCTTTGTCCAAAGCTAATTGGCCATAAACTTTGAGGGTTTATTTTCGGATCGTGGATGTCCGGTTCTGTCCTGCTGGCAAGCGTGTCTTTGTGCACAGCTGCCTGATGAGTTTGAAGCTGTCACATTTCCTGAAAGCAGCATTACTGCCCTGGGTACTTCCATATGAATCTCATGACCTGACTGTGGGTTTCTGCAGAGGAGAAAGGATCAAGGCTGTGATGGTGATTGTGTTGAGTCTGCACACAGTTGGGGAAGAACTGCCACTCACTCACACGTTTATTGATTCAGGAAAGAATGGCACAGGGTGGCAATGCCTCCTACAGCTTCAGCTACTGGGTGGGGGGTGGCTGGAGGGGAAGGTGTGTGTGGGCTCTACTCTCGCCCATGGCACCTCCTGAATATAGGCTGCCTCAGTGTTAATTGTGCCCACACTTGAGGACCAGAGCCCCCCACAAGGGCCTGTTTGGTCTGAGAAATTACTAGGAGCAGCTCTGGTCAGATTCTGGGACTGAGTCTGAAGATGAGGCCCCTAGGGCCCTCTTAGCTGTTGGAAATGAGGGTGCAGCATTTGTACAGGTGCTTTCCCATTTGGGTGAGGGCTGACTAACCCTGCAGTCAGCCTGCCAGAGATGGCCTCGAACACCAAAGGCTTCCCCTGCTTTCCATTACTGGAGGGCCTGGCCTCTGAGCATGAGCCTTAAAGTCCGAGCTGAGTAGGTGGAAATATTTAGCTCCTGACCTAGCTGAGGGTCCAGTCAGGCTGCACCCCAGAACCCATTCTTCCCCCTGTGGCCCAGCCTTCTCCATACCCTCTCTAGTCATTGGTAGATAATCCCTGGAGCTTGTCCTGCCAGTCAGGATTGGAGTTGCCCCTGCTGGTCTTCAGTAATTATTTATAGTGGTCCCTGTCTCCCCTGGGTGTAAGGCAGGTGGCCTACCCTGCTGGACTGGTGGCGCCTACACCACCCCTGGAGTCAGGAGCAGGCTGTGCAACCCCGGGGGCACTTCCAGCCTCTGGTGGTGCTGCTCAGAGCCATGCTTTCTGGTGGGGACCAGGCATCTGTCCTTTTGTTGTTGTCACCCCGACACACACACACACAAGACAAGGTTTCTTTGTGTAGCCCTGGCTGTCTTGGACCTATGTAGACCACGCAGGCTTCCACCTCACAGGGATCTGTCTGCCTCTACCATGAGTGCTGGGATTAAAGGCGTGGGCCACCACACCTGGCACCTTTGTCTTTCTAGTCCAGTGGTTCTTAACCTTCCTAATGCTGCGACCCTTTAATACAGTTCCTCACAGTATGGTGGTGGCGCTAGCCTTAATACCAACACTTGGGAAGTAGACGCAGGTGGGTTTCTGTGAGTTTCAGGACAGCCTGATGTACAGAGTGAGCTCCAAGACAGCAGGGTATATAGAGAAACCCTATCTTGAAAAACAAAAATAACAATTAAAAAATACAGTTCCTCAGGCTGGGGAGATGGCTCAGGGGTTAAGAACACTGGCTGATCTTCCCAAGGTCCTGAGTTCAATTCCCAGCAACCACATGGTGGCTCACAACCATCTGTAATGAGATCTGGTGCCCTTTTCACTGTATATGATAAGTAAATAAATCTTTTATTTTTTAAAGGAAGATCTTTAAAAAAAAAATAGTTCCGCCAGGCATTGGTGGCGCACGCCTTTAATCCCAGCACTTGGGAGGCAGAGGCAGGTGGATCTCTGTGAGTTCGAGGCCAGCCTGGTCTCTAGAGTGAGTGCCAGGATAGGCTCCAAAGCTACACAGAGAAACCCTGTCTTGAAAAACAACAACAAAAATACAGTTCCTCATGTTGCGATGACTCCAACCTATAGAATCATTTTCATTGCTACTTCATAACTAATTTTGCTACTATTATGAAATATAATGTAAATATCTGATATGTGGCCCCTGTGAAAAGGTAGTTTGAACCCCAAAGGGTCGTGACCTACTGGTTGAGAAGTTCTGCTCTAGACCATAGGGCTCTCCTGTGCCCTTGCTGCCTGTACCTTCCAGAAAGTGTGGCAGCCTGGACTGACACAAAGCAGGACTGTCAGTGACTGTTCTGGGGAAGTGGCTGGGAAGGGACAGGCCACCTGTGGAGGAGAGTCAGCAGACACTTCACAGAGACCCAGTGTTGCTGGGTGGGGTCCTGAGGGACCATGCTGAGAAGGAGGGCCTCACTTCTCTTGCAGGCTACAGCATGTTTGCTGTGGGCATCGGGACCTTGTTTTTTGGCTACTGGAGAATGATGAAGTGGAACCGTGAGCGCAGGTAGGGAGGGCCCTTTTCAGCACCGGGTTCTGTGAGGGCAAAAGTCCTGGCTGGCTGTCCTACCCCTCACTTCCTGTCCTAAAATAAAGGGTTGGTGGATCAGGCCTTCAGCTGTTCCCAGGCCAGGTTAGCATAAATAGGGCACCTGGGACTCAAGGGTCTCCCATCTGGTATTATGTGTGATCACCAGGCCAGATATGCTTGGGACTTGGGACATAGAGGCAGGTGGAGCTCTATGAGTTCTAGACCAGCCAGGGCCACACAGTGAGACCTCAACAAAAAAAGAACCAGGCCATGGGAGGCAGAGAGACTAGGACCATGAGTGTCATAGATGGGGGTGTCACTAGAAAAGGAACTCCACTAGAGGCCTCTTCCTGAACCACATCACTGGATTCTGTTTCCCAGCTCCTGAAGTTGAGAGATTCCCAACTCCCTGTGGGGGTAATAACTGCTGGAAGACCTCAGACCCAGCACCCTGCTATTTTGAGAACAAAGGGAAATTGGTTTTGTAAGGCCCAGAGCCTGGTGATGAGTGTGCCCCCCTCTCCACCCAGATCATCAGACAGGGCTATTTTTAGGATTTAAAAAAAAAAAAGTTTATTTGAAAGGAAAGTGTGAAGCCAACACTTTTGTGTTTGCTGTAGCCTGCCTGTGTCAGCTGTAGACTTGCCTTCCTGTTCCAACTCAGGCGGCCAGCCTTCCCCGCTCCCCACCAGCACCCTGTGGCCCTGTCAGGTTGTGTCTAACACTCCCTCAGTGGCCACATTTGACCCCGAGTGGGTGTCCTGGTTTCACAGGCGCCTGCAGATCGAGGATTTGGAGGCTCGAATCGCCCTCATGCCGCTCTTCCAGGCAGAGAAGGACCGGAGGTAGGTCAGAATGGGAGGAGCTATAGGTCAAGGAAGGGACAGAGTGGTTGCCCTGGATAGGTCTGATTGTAGCCCCACCCTGTGGCCACAGAACCCTGCAAATTCTTCGGGAGAACCTGGAGGAGGAGGCCATCATCATGACAGGGTCAGGGGGACTGCTGAGGACTGACTCTGCTCCTGCCCTTAGGGGGGTGAGTCTGTCTTCCACACCACGCGCTGGGTGCCGCCTCTCAACTCCGAGTTGTATGGGCTGCGCACCCAGGAGGAGTTGGACAACGCCAATTTCGGCTTCACCTGGTATACGTAGGGCCCGAGCGATATCCACAATAAAGAACAGTCAAATAAATGCCATCGTCTGACTCTGCGGATCCCCCTACACCAGTCTGCTGCCGTGGCACATCATGGGTTAAGTCGCCCTTGTGCTTGGGCCAATGACTGTACACAGAAGCCCCTGAGGAGCAGGCTCCCAGTCAGGGCTCCGCCCACCAGACTTGCTTAAAAGGGAGTGCGAGTCAGCCTGCCTGCCTGTGTAACCATGAGCGGCAATGCATTGGCCTCCAAGAGCCTTGGAGAGGCACCAGAGGAGAGGCGCTTTCTCAGGTCAGCAGGTGACAGGGGAATGACTGGGGTCGGCCCTAGGGTCTGCTGGGTGCAGCAGAAGCCTAGTTGCCAGGGAAACCGCATTCCAGGCAAGCTGCCCCCTCATAGTTCCCCTCAATGTTTGATGTGTCACCCTGAGGGACTTGGGCTCACACAGAGGCTTTGAATACCGGCTGCTACTAGAAGGCAAGAGGGCTCAGGGTCGGGTGATGCTGCTGCCTTCTTTCAGGGCACAGAGACTGTGTGCAGGCAACCAGGTGAGCAAAGGTGATGGGGAGAGGTGTTGGAGAGACTACCTGGCATGCCCTGACTGGAGGGTGCTTTGCCCTTCTAGAAGTGATTTGGGGTTGTCAGACCTCAACACTGGCCCTGAAAGAGACCCTACCCTTGCTGGTCCTGTTCTAGGAGCAGCATTGGAACTGGTGGGGGGAGACCTCCCCCATAACAGCCTCCAAACAGCAGACAGGCTTCCCTGCTGGTCCCATGAGCTCTTGTTCACTCTGTCCACCAGGGTTAGCCGCAGCCCTGGTCGAGTTGTTCCCTGGGATTGCTCACTATCACCTCTGCAGAAGCAGCCATGGCTGTCAGACAGAAAGTGGGGACCAGAGGTCCACATCAGGTGTTTTCCTCTCTGTGTCTTTACTTCAGTTTTTGGACACAGAATCTCTCACTGAACCTAAAGTTGACTGATTTCTAGACTGGTTGGCCAGTGAGTTCCACACATTCTCTTGTTTGTACCTCACCAGCAGTTGGGTTACAGACTCTCCTACTGTACCCAGCTAGGTTTTGCTTTTGTTTTTTTCCTTGGGTTCTGGGAATTAAACTAAGGTGATGCTTGCAAGGGAAGCCATTTACCAACATAAATCATCTCATTTTGTGTGTGCGTGTGTCTCTGTGTGTATGTGTGCTAACTCCAAAGATGAGACAGTGTGTGTGTGTGTGTGTGTGTGTGTGTGTGTGTGTGTGGTTCTGGTGCCTATGGAGGTGAGAGGCATTGGATCCCCTGGAGCTGGAGTTACAGGTGGTTGTGAACTGCCTGGCGTGGGTGCTGGGAGCTGAACTTAGTCCCTCAGCCCCACAGACTTGGCTTTGAGACCATTCTGTCTCACGGTCCAAGTGCTGGGATTCTAGTGTGTGCCACTGTGTCCAGGCCTTGCCCCGTACTGAGTGCATACTGGATGTGCTGTCCCAACTTCCTTTCCTTCCAGGTTCTCTGTCCCTGAGCTCCTGTCCTCTTGGCTGCAGTGTCTACCTCACAGTGCTTTTCAGTTTTCTTTCTGTGTAACCCAGGCTGTCCTGGAACTCACTCTGTAGACCAGACTGGCCTCTGCCGCTAAGTGTTGGGATTACAGGCGTGTGGCACTGAGCCTGCCTGCCTGCCTGCCATGCTCCCCACACATCTGGACTTCTTCCAGCTCTTACTTCTTTCTTTTACCTCCCCTCCTCCAGGGTACCCTACCTGATTGTCCTCTCATGGCAGTGACTGCTGGCCAGTTGGCACCCCCTCCTCAATTCACAGCTGGGAAATCAGGGAAGAGGGCTGTTGGCACAGGCAGACCTTGTTCTACCCCAGTCGTGGTTCTGTAGTGCAGGGTCTGCTCTGCAGCTCACCTGCACCCCCCAGCAAGTGGAGGCCCCCAGCCTCTGCCCTGTCCCATGCTGGGACACGTTTAGAACTTGCCATTGCTTTCTAGAAATTATTTTTGCCCAGTGCTAGGTGTGGAACCCAGGACCTCACACATGCTTGGCAGGTGTTCACACACACAACATTGAATTGCTAATGACTTTTGAACACAGACTCATGAATTATGTAATTTATTCAGTTCTGTTAGAGGTAGCTGGAGACAACCCTCAGCCACGTGGTAGTAATCTTTATTTCTTTTTAAGATAGGGCCTCATGTCCATGAGTGGTGGCGCATGCCTTTAATCCCAGCACTCAGGAGGCAGAGGCAGGTGGATCTCAGTGAGTTTGAGGCCAGCCTGGTTTACAGAGTGAGTTCCAGGACAGCCAGAGCTACCCAGAGAAACCCTGTCTAGGGGGGAAAAAAAACAAAAAACAAACAAGGACAGGTTCACCCTGGCCAGCCTGGAACATCATGTGGAACATCATGCTGGGCTTAAATGCACACATATCTGCCTTCCTCTGCCTCCAGGTGCTGGCATTAAAGACATGAGCTACAAAGCAAGGCTCAGATATCTTAATTTCATTGTCCTAGAAGATAAGCCGTCTAGGGTCTCATGGTTAAAGGTCCCATTTCCATTTTCCTGAATGAGCTGCTAAATTCTGCAATCTTCAAAACCCACTTTGACAATCCTCACTCCCTGCCCTCTCCAGTGTCTAGAGCCACTAATCTCTGTGGAAGAAATCTCACCACCCCATCAAATTCTCAAGGTTTGGGATATGAATCTGAGGGAGGAGATTTAGGAGTTGGATGGCACACTGGGATATGCAGCTGGGAGAATCGGACTGCATTCAGAATCTTCTGATCTCTGGGTCGCTCAGCTTTGGGGGAAAAAAACCAACCAAACAAAAAACACCGCTGAAGTGAGCGACGTGTGTATCTTTAACCACCAGAGGGTGCGCACGCCTCAGGCTGCCATTTCAAAACAAGCTTGTGGGATGGGGAAACTGGGCAAGAGATGCTGTCACACAGATCAGGACTAGGCCAGAGCCATCCCCGAGTCTCCGTTCCCTTTCTGTGCCTCTGAGCCAGTTGCCGGACTCTGCCTGCAGCACCTCGGAGGCGACCGCCCTGGAGCGGGAGCTGCTGGATGAGTACCGCTTCGGGTGGCAGCAGCTGGTGGAACTATACGGGCACGCCAGTGCGGTGGCTGTGACCAAGGTACCAGCCCACTTTGCTCGAGGGTCCTTCAACCCAGTGCTGGGTGGGGAAACTGGAGAACAAGGTTTCCTTTCCAGGCGCACTGCCAGACAAGGCACAAGTGGGGTCCCAGAGGGGCAACACCTACAGGGTGGGGCTTGGGCCGCCCAAGTACAGGCCCTTAAATGCCCCCACGAGGAGATGGGCAGGGTAGTCAAATGAGGTCTGAAGCAGGGTTCAAAGTAGTGTATCCTGCTCAGGTAACCTTCACCCCAGAAGTGCCCCCAGAGGCGCTGGCTGGCCTTGGGGTCCTGCAGGACCAGGGCAATTCAGTTATAAATGCAGAAGCCCAAGGAAGCGTATGTCCCCGCTCCTCCAGAGTCTAGCCTCTCCTTCCTTAAAAAAAACAAAACAAAAAAAAAAACATTTATTTGCCCCCCACCCCCATCGTGTGAGTGTGAGCATGAGGGAGCTAATGTTCTCCGTCCACCATGCGGGTTTCAGGAAAGAAACTCGGGTCCCTCCTTTATCTACTGAGTCCTCTTCTGTAGCCCAGACTGCCCTCATAGTGGCTCACAACTGCCAGCTAGGCTGTTGAAAGCCTAAGGCAGGAGGATTGCTGCAAGTTCAAGACCAGCTTGATCGAGAACCTCTCAACAAAAACAAAGCAAAAAACCCTGTGCAGACTGAGGTTCTGAAATACAAGGCAACAGATAGGAAATGGAGAGGGATAAAGGCGCGATGCTAGCCCCACTTTAAGCTGTAAATCGGGGGTAGCTGCGCAAGAAAGCGGGGCTGTGCCCGGAGTGTGCAAGGAGTAAACAAACCACACGGGGCCCCGGCGCAGAGGTCGGGTTCCCAGCCTGGATGCACCGAGTCAACCTGCCCTGCTGGCAGACCACCTCTTCTTCCCTCTGCCCTCTCATCGAGCCACCCTGCTGTGCTGTGTCGCAGGCCTTCCCCTTGTCCTTGCTGTCGCGCAAGCAGAGGACCGTGCTGGTCGTGTGCGGCCCCGAGCAGAACGGCGCTGTGGGGCTGGCGTGTGCGCGGCACCTGCGGGTGTTCGTGAGTAACAGGGTCCCTGTGGTGGGGGGCAGACCCGGGGGGGGCCTCCTCCCCGCGC